CCTTGACAGAAGCATTCACTCAGAAAATAAAATCTGAGTTTTGAAGAGCCTGACAGAAGACATTACAGAACACGGTATCACTCAGTAGCTGTCTCCCACTTTTATAACACTGTAGCTGGTGCTGGTCACATCTTTAAAAGCAGAATTACTAAACATACAGATATGGAAAGACCAGGTACAAAAAAATCCTCTTAGGAAGAGGAACTGAAGCAGAATGCTTGTTTACATTGCAGAGGAGGGGGGAAACATACAGAATTAAGACTATCACTGAGAAGAAAGGAGCACATGATCTCGCAACAGGAGAACTAAAGGACTGCCAACAAAACCGGAGGACAGTAATTCAAAATCAACAAAAGCTTTTTGATGCAAAATAGTCAGCCTGGGGCACTAACTGCCATAGGACTTTCCAAGAGACACTGAAGATGTAAAAAGCAGTTAATAAGTAAGGAGTATCCAAGTTTCTGACCTGGTGAGCCACTCAGCAAAATCTGTACATGTCAAACGTCCACAAGACACACACCACCAGTTACTTCAGAGGATGATGGAGACTAAAAGCACCAGACAGTCCACAGCAAAGTTATGACAGCAGATGTCTCTCATGTCCCATCACACTGCCTTGAGCCCCAGCTGGTCTATGCACAACCCTGGATCCCACAGAAACCCAGGGATGCTGGTTTTGGCAGTCCACGCTGGTTCACTTCCCTTCTAAGGTAGATCTGGACTACCAAGCACAAAATTGGCACAAGGATTACTTACAAACCACAAACAGATACCCTTGGACAAAAAACTTTCATTCATACAAGAATATCCAGAGCTGTAATGCTCAGTATTAAGAGAACAATGTCAAATTTTGTGAAGAAAAAAAAGCCCACAGAACAAAAGCCAGGCTCTACTGGGCACTAACAGGATGCTTCTGAAGGGCAGCTTACTAATCAATAATGAATCCCTCATTAATCATGAGGGATTTGAAAGACCATGACAGAGAGATGACTGGGTATTGTTAGACTGTTTTTTTCTGATTACAAATAAGCTATGAAATATCAATAATGTCCCTCATTTTCTGGCCCAAGTTAAACAGTAAATGTAGTTACAGGGAGGGTTAGTAACTAGTCAGACAACACTCAGCAGTATCATTCAGCACATGGAAATGAATACAAAGTCCTTTCTAATGCACTGGAGTGCAGGGCAGAACTGCTGGATCAAGCCACCTTACTGAGACAGATCCATTCAAAGTGTGTGTTTAAAGGCAAGGAACGACCTAAGAACAAAGAATGAAAAACATCCCTCTAAGCAGGAGGTCATGTCTTGAAAAGTGGAAAATGTGAAAAGGAAGTAGAGATCACAGTGGGAAAACAACTCACACTGTGCCACTCTGTGCCGCACTGTGGCAGAGAGAGTCAAAAGAACTTTTGGATTTGTGAAGAGCAGAAAGCAAGGACAGTAGGATGAGTTTCTCTGTATAGGTCAATCACTAGAGAAATCCATGTTGGAACACTGAATAAAGTAGTACCAATACAGTCCAGAAGTCTGAAAAATGCTGTCCATGAAAGATTTAAGTAATGCAAAATGTTTAATCATCTAAACATAAAGTTGAGATATGAATGCACTGATAGCATTTAAAGACATTCAATATAAGTAGAGTCACAAAATCCCAAGTGATAAAAAGCTACAAAATGAGATAGAAAAAGAAAGACAGAACAAGAGCCAGTGGACAAGAGATGACATGAACAAACTCTGCCACAAATGCTGCCACACGGCACCTGCCAGTTGGGAGCACAGCAGAGTTCACTCTCCTCACAGGTCAGCGACACCATTCCAGCTTTCACCCCTGGCCCTCAGGACAGTCTCGCTGTCACAAACAGGGGATTTACAAACCAAAGCAGAGGGGCTGGCATGGTCTTTAGAGCTTCAAATCCTTCCTGGCCCCAAGTCAGTACAGACCTGCCAAAGCCATTCTTAACAGGTGTTTATCTAAGTTCTTAAACCCTCTATTGTTCGAAGGTCTACAAGCAGTATATTCAATTTTAAATTTCCAATAGTTAACCAAACTGCAGGTTGTCTTTGTGGGAAGCATAAGGGTCACAGTAAGCACAAATGGAAATCCATTAGTGCTCAGTAAAATATGGGTGTCACATGATCCAAAAGTCTCTTTTAGTCATCAGATCCATTAATCTGTAAACAATCACGAGCAATGTAGATCAACCCTCGGCTTCAGGGCTGGTGTTGACGCCAGGGCTTCAGCTTCTACAATCATGGGATGTTCTTTAATGAGTATTACTGAGGAGAGAGAGAGGATTCACCATCAGCCAGTTCCCTCAGGACCCTGGCATGCGTTTCATCAGCTTTCATGGATGTGTGTATGTTCATGTTCCTCAGATGGTCTAGGACCTGATCTTCTCCTTCAGTGGACAAGACTTCATTCCCCCAGTCCTTACCTTGAGATCTGGGGACTCCAGAACAGAGCACAGAACAGAGGATGCTACGGGACTGTCAGAGGCCATACTGGAAAGGACAGAAGTTTGTCTCTCAAACATTGGAACCAATGAATAGAGTTTTGAAAAAGATGGAAGGAGGACCCAAACAGCTTTACATAAAGCTCATGGGGGGCCTTGTCCAGCACTGAATTGCCAGTGCTCTGAAATACATCCAGTTACAGGAACGACAATATGACTGTTACTTTCACATTTACTCAGTACACATCAGAAACATTTGACAAGGACACCTCAGACTGTCAATTCACAAAAATCAGACACACCTCACTTGTTGACTGAACAAGACCTACTAGCCAGTGTCTGCATTATGACAGTTTATAGAGAACGCGACACAACCCTGTGAGCTAGAAGACATGTAAATTGTAGATATCTGCTTGTTTCAATGCACTCAGGACACTTCTGCATAAATGCAAAACCTGGATAACTCCCTGGATATAACACTAGAACTCTTAATCCTTTACATTTTAAATTAAGCACAATCCAGTTCCTCCAGATGCATCTTTCCAGAAAAGATAACCTCCTGGAATGCTGTTCAGTTTAAGGGGAGACCAGCAAATTCCATGTTTTAACCCAAGCACTTTGTTTGGAAATGGATGTGGCAACACTGCACTGAAAGAGGAAAGAGCTCCAAAGGATTGAGGGAACAGAGGGTTACCATTAATACCTTACCTTCATCAAAAAGCTAAAGGAGTTTTAATACACAAGCTCTTCCGATTCCAGTGAGAATTGTGGACTCTCTGCAGGAATACACATTAGCAGGTATATTCTGCATTTAACATCAGTGGGTTCTTAACAAGCTAATAGGCACGGAGAACATGGCATGTGATAGGTACGGCAACAGAAGGAAATAAGAGTAGGATGTCAGAACTGGAAAAGAAAGGAACTTTCCCAGATGTCAGCTAGAAGAAGCCTTTTGTCACATTTGCTGCCCGACACTCAGTGCTCATCTTGAACCCAACACCATCCAAAAGTGCAAACACAAGTGAAAAAAAAATCACAAGAGCGGTTCCTGGTTACCAGGTTGTTGTTCTCACTGTCTTTACTTCCAGTTTCTTTATGTCTGGTCTCTCCTCCTGCCCTCTCCTGCCCCAGCTTTCAATCATTTGGAAACTCATACCCTCAGTTTTCAATCATTTGGAACCTCAATGAGGAGAACTGCCAAACTGCCTTTCAAAAAGGCATACCCTTCCTCAGGGACAGGTGGGAGCTGCATACAGGTACCCACTGCCGTTAAGGATGTGCCAAAGTTCTATAATCCTCCCTGGACTCAGAATCCAAGAGAACATCCAGCTGAACAGAAAAGGACAGAATAGTGACAAAACAGATAATCACAGAAAACTGGAACAACTCCTTCCAAAGAGGATAACTTATCATTTAACCAGCAGATCTAGGAATATGGGGGATTTGCTAACACTGTTTATTCCATAGATGACTGCAAAAACTTAAAATGTATATGCAAGAAAAAAATTATTCTGTGATTTGCCTCATTTTCCTGTTTCTGTTCCACACCTCCAATACCAGTCAGAGATGGGAAATTCTGGTCTGACTCAGTGCACACAGTCCTTAAATTCGCCTGAGTTCCCACTGGCAGGCTGGGGCTGGTACCTCTGTGCCAGGCTTGCCCTGGTTCACCCAGAACCACGCAGGCAAGGCAGCAGCACTGGGCACTGTGCATATTCTGCAGTTGGCTGTGCAGTACTGTGGGGAAAGGGCCACATCAGATGACAATAACAAGCCTAATGTGTCTTAAAACAGAAAAATAAAATAGTTATAACCCAAGCTACTTATTTCCACAGCAAAATAGAATGCATTTCTTCTACCAGATGATTTACACAACAGCAGGGTGACCTGTGCAGGCTGTGAAAGGTGAGAAGTCACCAATACAGCTGTGAAAAAACAAAGTCCCTTACAGGCATACTGTGTACTGACTGGGAAAACAGACAGATGGATACAGGTGCATATTCACCAGTGGAAGCAACATGAAGAATGGAACTAATGGTAGAAAATAAATAGCTGAGTGGCAGATTTGAGCACCTTGTCATGGAGGTGACCAATGCTCATCCAACAACAGCAAATACTAGAGAAGTCTACCACCTGGGAAGAGCTAATTTAAACCTGCTCTGAGAAGTGTGGGAACCCTACAAAACAATTAGCAATGGACAAGAACTAATCACATTTACTTGTGGCAAATGGAGTAATGGATTACCACAAAGAATTCCTGCTCCTACTACTCCCCTTAGCAACTGCATCCTCCAACGTCACGCGCTCTGAGCCAGTCTACTCTGACAAATCGGCATCTTCCTGCCAGAACTACCACAAACTATCACAGAAATAGCTGGCTATTCAAAGGACCAGTTTAGGTCCTTTAGGCAAGCTGACAGTTCAGGATTTATTCACAACATAATATCTCCCATATGTCCAAAGGCAAACATTTTCCAGCCCCAATACGAAGCACGGACACATCCTTCCCAACTACAACAGATCACTTTTCAAAGAGCTAAAACCTACCTGTAGCAGACAAGACAGCTGAACACCTGGAGTCACATCTGTACGGACCAAGAAGAAGCAAGAAACTTATCCTGTGGATGGGGCAGGAGACCAGATATTATGTCATGCTGAATTAGCAGCAGATGTTCTCAGTGACCTGAAGCAGGATCAGCTCTAAGGCAAGAGGGACGAGGACGCATTTGGATCCAACTCTGAAAAAGAGAAAGCACGTTCTGGGTGAGAGGGAAATAATATACAGTATAAATAACATTTCCTAGAACAGCACCAATTCAGGTGACACTTCAAAAGCAGCACAACTTGGGGGGAACAAAATGGGAGAAAAAGCAAGAAAGGAAGGATGCAACTGACATAGTGGTTCAGGGCTTCTCTGCAGACCCTGCACATGGGGCACATCCAGGCTGTCAGGACAGCCGTTTTTCCCAGGCACTGGCCAATCCATGTGGGCTGTTCAGCTTCTCCACGAGAACTAGCCTGAAATTGGGAAGATTGAAAAGAGCATGCAGAAAGTCACCACTTGCCTACAACTTGTCAACATATTGAGAAAACTGATAAGAACAATAGGGTGGGTAGGATTGGAGGGTATCCCTGGAATTTGCCTGGCCTAACCAAGAAGTAAGGGTATTTTTCTCACAGAGATGTTCTCAGTTACGTTTCTGCCATCAGACATCTCTGGTCACCCTTGGGAAGGGAGGCCAGTTCAGATGCATCAACCAAGTCTGCTTGCTTTCATCCTTAAAGAAATCAACTCCTTAAAGGCTACCAGAACACTGCAGTGTTTCAGCAGCCACCATCAGCTGCCCCAGTAGGAGGGTGAGAGTGTTGCAGACCGGGAGAACTAATGATCCCACAGATTTAGGGTATAGTTCAGACAGCTTCAGTGTCTGCATACTCATGATAGGTCCCAGAGAAGATGAACAAGGGTAAGAAGGAAAAGAAGCTGGGAAGAGCTGAGCCAGCTACACGTGCACATACAAAGCCCTGCTGCTCCTACAGCTCTGTACTGTAGCTGATGAAGAAAAGCAGCATTACAGCAGAACAGGTGTCACCAGCACGCGCAGCATTCCCAGGTGTAAGCTCGTACCTCGGCATGCGGTTAGACACAACTGTTTAAAGAACAGACTGGCAAGAAAGGGAAGTATGAGCATGGCAGTGCCAGCCTGGCCAGTACCGTGCAGCACAAGCACAGGTAACTCCACCAGGCACAGAAACCGAGGTTCTGGGTCTAGCAGGGTCAGAACAAGGGAAGAACAAAGGGCAGAAAGAAGATCATGGTGAGTTCTGCTAAAACAGAGCTGAAGTCAAGTTAGGACAGAGCCTAGGCAAGCAGGGGCTAAGGCAAACACTGCAGTGGAGGCAGTGCAAGTGAGGAAGGAGAATGCACAAGGTACAGAAAGGAACATCACTGCAGCACTGAGGAAAAGGAGAGCAAAGGCTGAGTGTTGGGAATCTCACCCTCTCCCTGCCTCAGGGGCAAGGCCAGGCTGCAAGGTTCCTCCTCAGAAGAGGGGTCAGGGGATTCAGCAAGGGAAGACAGGCTGGCTTCGCTGGTGTTCCCATGGAAAACAGCAGGTCACTGATTGCTCCTGAGACAACGCCAAGTAACTGAGTATTTTCAGAAGCTGTAGGACTCCCTTGGATGGGCAGTAGGATGAAGCCAGTCTCTCCAATAAGGCCAGTGCTGACAGCAGCAGGTGAGGATACTGCACAAACATTCTCCCAGGTCATGCTAACTGGTGAATAACCTTGCTTACTCCTCAGTCCCCCATTTCAATTCTACCTCAGTCTTCCCAGAAGCAACTTGCACACAGGGGACCCTCCACAGGCCATGGCGATGCAGTAAACGGAAGAGAGTTCAGGCCTCAGGGAACAGCAGGGAGGGAGCAGCAATCCCAGCAGCAAGCTCCTGGCACCAGTGAGATGGTTTGTATGTGTGGGAAGTCAGGAAGATCTTCTGGAAGGCCATGCAGAGCACCAGTCTCCTACAGACATGGATCAGTTAGTCCTGAGAGAGTTATCTGGGACCGTGTATCTCCCTCTGAAGACAGAACTGTGGGGCAGCAAGACAAATGCTCTCTCTCAAAAGCTGCCTTCTCCTGTGTGAAGGCTGGTTGTTCCTGGAGCATCGGAAACAGCGGGCAGTTAGCCGCAGGGCAGCGCTGGCTGTGCAGTGTCTCCAGGGACAGCCTGTTAGGAGGACCCTCCTCTCCATAGGACCGTGTCCAGGGCAGGATGGGCAATTCCAGATGAGTGATGGTGTCTCCCGCGGGAAAGTCAGTACATGCTAAAGGAGACCCTCCCGAGGGGGCCTGGAGCCCACATTCGGGAGCGGTAAATGAGCATTGGGCTCCCCCCCTCTCTGCCCCTCCGAGCCAGCCGAGTCCCTGCGAGGCAGAAAAGCCGCGGTTCGGCCGAGGACGCGGGGCCTGCGCTGGGACACCCGGCGGGGGCTGCACCGCGCAAAGCCAAGTCCGCGGGGAAGAACGGAGAGACCGGCGCCGCAGCCGTCGGGGTGTTCCAGCTGCGGCTCCGCGGGAGAAGGCACCGCTGGGTCTGCCCCGACTCCGCCGGTCTCCCGGCCGGGCGAACCCTGCGGGCGCTGCCCGAGTCCGTGCCTGGGCCTGGGGCGCCGCCGGGGGGGTCGTCCCGCAGGCAGAGCTCCCGCGGGTGCCGGGGCGGGGGCGGCGGGGCCGCGCGGCGCTCACCGTCCCGTCCACGCTCCGCTCCCGCCGGGGCCGTCCGAGCGCGGGGCGCCTGCGCGGCGCTGCGGACACCGGCGAGGGAGCGTCTGCAAAGTGCGGCGCGCCCGCTGCGCCGGGGAGACGGTCCCGCTGCGAGAGCGCCCGGCCCGGGCCGCGCCGCTGCGGCGGGAGGGAGGTGCGGCCGCGGGCCCTGCCGCCCTCCCAGACCCGTGGGGGCGGCGCGGCGCGGAGCTCCTCCCGGGGACGGGCGGGAGCAGCGCCCACACCCTCCCAGCGCCGTCGGCCGCCGCGGTCCTGCCGCCTCGGGAAAGCGGGAAAGAGGGACGGGCGGGCTACGGGGCCGCCACGGCCCCCAGTTCCTACCACCGCTGGGCCCCGCCGCCACAGAGCCCCGCGTCCCCCACCCCCAACGCCCCTCACCGCCGACAGAGCCCCATCCCCATGGTAGCGCCGCCGCCCCTTGCCGTCCCTGACCTGCACTCACCGCCGCCCCCTGCCGCCCCTGACCCGCATTCACCGCCGCCCCCGACCCGCACTCACCGCCGCCCCCTGCCGCCCCTGACCCGCACTCACTGCCGCCCCTGACCCGCACTCACCGCCGCCCCCGCCCCGCCGCTCTCGAGGCGCTCCCGCCCCGCCGCAGCCTCCGCGCGCTCCACAGCGCCGCCTGCCGGGCCCGCTCGGGCCCGGCCGCAGAGCCCCCGCCCAGCGCGGCCCGTGCCCGGTACCGGTACCGGTGCCAGCCCTGCCCGCGCTGCCCGTCGCGGCCGGGGCCGCTCGCAGTAGAGCTCGACAGCGCTACCGGCTTCAAGGCTACACCTGCAGCGGGGCTCGCACCGGCTGCGGCGGGCCCGGGGCTCACCAGGACACGGTGAGAATTTCAGCACGGCCGTAGTGGGATGAGGGTAGCTCAAAGGCACGACCGATCCTTCAAACGCAGAACCGGCCCAGAGCTGCGATCCACTATCCACGCGATTTTCCTTGTCTTAAGAAGTTGGTGATTCCCAAGGGGTGAGGATAAGGGTGCTGGGCCTGGTGGACCGTGGGTCTGTGGTGCGGTGCCAATTACAATGGGAAAAGGAAAACTGCTTCACAAACGCAGACCATCTCTACGATGTGTGCTTTGACAGAGTAAGGTGAAGGTACACTCAGTGGGACCAGTCCAAGGAGAGGAGGAGGGAAGTTTGGACAGGATGAGCACTGACAGCAAATACTTTGGGATGATCCTACAAGGAGCTGTGAGGAAGCGGTGAAAGGACTGAGCTCCACTAAGGAGACAAGCAATCCTGCCAGCTCCACATATTCAAAAAGGGTTTAAGTCTAAAAGATGAAGTAAAACATTGTTAAGATTTTAAGGTGGATTTAAGTCTCTCTGGGTGTTTTTAAAGGGGGACTATACACATGCTCATCTTTTCCACTGTATTTTTCACCTGTCATATTTTCAAGCTTTTTCCTACCATTACTTGCACCAGCAAAACACTTGCAAATGGAAGATGAGTTTCCGTTACCTGTCAGCAGCAACGGTTCAGCATGCATGCCGAGAAGATAAGGTACCTTAAGTGCTTAGAACATCCAGGAAAGAGCCTGAAATGGGAATATGTGAGGGTGGCTGCCTTGGCCAAGGTACAGGACTTGGGAGGGGCAAACCCTGGGACAGCAGGGCACAAAAGCACCTGGTATAGTGGTTCAGGCCAGGACTCCTGGCAGGCGACTCAACTGGCACTTGTACCTGGACATGCTCTGCAGTGCTGTACAGAGTGTTTCATGATGAATGTGTGACAAGGCCACGCTCAAGGCCAAACAGAAGAGAGCAAGCTCCTCGGAAATGATCTCTTCATGCTGGAGTTAAGAATGGAGGAGTCTGCTGAGCAACAACACCCTGCTGTAGTAGCTGGGGAAATGTGCACCTGTTAATGAGAGTATTGTGTCCTCTGTATCTGCTCATCTGATCTGACCAACAGCAACTCCAAAACTTTTGTGGAACAGCCTAGACCATGCAGTGCCAGGCTTGCACTCTCCAGAGTGCTGGGAATTGGCTCTGGACCACTTTGGAAGGATAAGATCCAGCACTTGTAAGCTGTGATTCAGTGCAGCCATCCCAGGACCTGCCCAGACACACCTGAATGGTGCCAGGTGTGTCCCAGGGAAGAGGGGGGAACAGCCCCCTCTCCCAGGGGAGATGGGCTGCACGTCCCACTCACATGGCAGAGCCGCATCATTTATATTCCAGTCTTGGAGAAGACTGATGGACACTATGATCAGATACAGTATCTGAGTTGACAGTATCTGGGTTTGGTACTTTTTTAAGTACACTTGTTAGGGATAGAGTGGCAGCTCTGTCACAGGTGAGAAGATGGACAGTCTGTTTTCACCTGTTTCTTGAAGTTAAAAATGCAGCAGGGACAGAAGCTTCCTGTGTTTGTACCATATACTCTAGGTCTTTCTCTGGGATCAACACAGACTATGGCAACAGGATACATCAGCCAGTCTAGGACATGCAGTGGAAGAAATTCACTACAACTGATGACAAGGAAGAAAACTATCCAAGGGCATGGAGTGATGTACAAGAAACTGAAGTACTAAAGTACACACTCCTGGTGTTGGGGTAACACAGGCACCCAATGAGAGTATGAATTTCCCCAGGGGTACAAGGTCAAAGATGACCCCACTGTAATCCACAAACTCTGTATCATGATCCTCACATTGTTCATCATTTCTGGCTGAACTAAAGTGCATCCTTGAAAAAGACCTAGTCCAAAATGACACAAAAATAGTGGTATAGAGTTAAATCATAAGCACACCTGACTCATTTACTCTGTCACTAAAAGTCTAGAAAATATCATCACAGTGCTCATTTCCTGAAGGCTCTCATAGCTCCAAGGGATTTCTGGTTCAGAGACCTGCTGTGCCAGAGCTGTTGGATTTGTGGTTAACAGCATTTAATGGATTTCTCTTATGTATCTTTCATCCACTATATTTTGACAGTCATGAAACTTAAGGCCGTGAAGGACCATTAATTCTGTCCACTTACATTTGACAAGTAATTTCACACAGGCCTCTAATGATCTCTGTTACACAAACCAAGTAAATTGTAGTACACTGGAAAAGTTACCACTGTAATTTCACTAACTACTCACTTCCAGCACTGAAAGCATGTGCCTGTTTCCCCTTGGAATTATTTGTTACAGTTTTAAGCTGTTAGTTTGGTGGTTGTTGTGCCTTACCCCTGGACATTTAAAAGCCTCTTTAGAATCCAGTGTTTTCACTCAGTACATGTACTCATACACTCTAATCAGTGTCTAAGTCATTAGAGTTCATAGAATCATATAAAGGTTTGGGTTGGAAGGGGCTTTTAAAGGCCATCTGTTCCCTCCTCACCACAGGAAGGGACATCTCTACTCAATCAGGTCATTCCAAGCTCTGTCTAACCTGGCCTTGGAGACTTCCAGGGATGGGGCAGCCTTGGCTTCTCTGAGCAACCAGTGCCAGGGCCTCACTACTCTCATTTTTAAAATAGTCTTTCCTATATCTAGTCTGAATCTACCCTCTTTTAGTTTAAAACCGTTAAGTTCAGTTTAAAGCCATTACCCCTTGGCTTTACCACAACAGGAGTTCATCTCACATAAAATATTTTTCCAATCTTGGGGTAAGTTTTGTGAAACTCTCATATATTCTTTTTTTTTTCCTCTTTTCGCTTCAAGCCTTAAAAAAAAAAGGCTGTGAGCTCTGCCCTTTTTACTGTCTCACATTAACAACATCTGTTTCCCCAAGACTGTCTACCTGTAAAGATCTGTTATGTCTTAACCCTATACTGTCAGCTTTACAGGGCTGGGGCAGCTCTGAATTTTAGTGTCTAAAACAGTGGGTCCTAGACAAATTAAGCTTCTGGCACTTTAATACAGTCAATTTCTTTACAGACTCACCTTTGTCTTTTAACAGGGAGTCCTCTCTGGAGGAGTTATACACCTTCATCTTCTGCAAGTATGTAAGTTTGCACTTGACTGTTTTAAGACAAAAATTGATGTGAAGAGCCTTACTCTGCTGCTCTTCTCCACTGTTATCTTCTCTTCATGACTTTTTTGCAATTTTTTACATCATCTGCAGATTTTATCAGTAGAGATCTTACATTTGCTTCCAAATAATCAATTAAGTGTGAAACAACACTGGCTGGAGAACTGTCCCCCTGGGCAGACCCGTTCACTTTCCCAGTTAAACGAGAGCTGGAACAGCCTGAGGATAGTAAACTAAAAATGCCATAAGGCAAATGCTGTAAAGAGGAAAGAAAATAATCAAATTAAATGTTGAATAAATTGATCCAGCATTACACCAAACAAGACCCAAGTTGGTCATTTCATATCACCTCATCTCACCTTGGAATGCAGAGTGTTGACTAGTAAAAACCAGAATCTCCAGTTTAAGGACTGGGCAGTTTGCTGACAGTATTTCCTGCCTTTCCTTTCCCAAAGAGCTGGATTTAAAAAAAAATAATAGAATCAGCTTCCAGATTCTCTCAAGTTCTGCATCCTCTCTGGCACCAGGAGGGTGTTTTTCGTGCAGCAGAATCTCTTTTGCATTCAAGACACTGAGCACCCCATCCCACAGTGAGCAGCATTGGGGCTCTCGCTCTGTCCATCTCTGCCATGGCACCTGATCCCACCTGGCAGCCGATGTAAACCCGACTGTGCACAGGCTTGTGCTGCTTACAGGCAGGCCTGGGTTTGCGGCACAAATCCCTTGCCCACAGGACAGCCTCAGCCAGCTCATCATACAGAAAGGCCTGTGGGCAACTCTCAGACCAGACACCTCCACTCCTGTATCCTGGCCTCTGTCTAAAACTGAGGCAAGAAATTTCCAGGCAAACATCCTTTCTGTCTGACAGCAGGAATAACAGACAGAGCTGTTTTCTGGCAGTCCTCTAATAGTTATAATGGCAAAAAAGAGAGAACCTTCTCTGCAAGTGGGGTCTGCATGGTGTTGCTGGGTGTGGATCAGAGGCCTATTTGACACTGCACCACTTGGGGTTCCCTGAATTTAAAGGATGTGAGATGATGTATGCTATTCTCTTTATCGCGTTAGCTCTCACACATATTTTAAATGGTACCCTACACAGTATGACCGCCTTTCCTACTGGGATCATAACCTCCCTGTGCAAAACAACCCTTACAAAAACAGAGGGTTTCCCAGGTAGCTGCCCTTGTCCTCACTCTGTAAATGTTTGCTTAGCAACAAACACACATCCCCCTAAGACACTGCAGAGAGCTGGCTTCTTCCCCATGTAAATGTAATCAAAACGTGCCTTACTTGTTAAACAAACAAATACGAGACTTCTATCAATTTGAACCAATGTCCATGTCTTTTAATACTTCTTTTGAAGCTTTTCTAATTTTTCAGCATCTCTTTTGATGCCAACACCAGAGCTCCACCTCGTGCTCCTCACGAGATGAATACAGCAAATACAACCTCTCTCCTTCAGCAGCACCCCTGTGGCCATGAACGGGGTCAGTCACACTTGCTGGCTCATCACACAAAGTCACAAGGTCACATCAGGGCTTTGATTTCTGGGATATTCACTGGAAAGATGATGCTGGAAAGCTGAAAAAGTAAAAAGATTAGTGGGGATGGATACCAAGTTAAACATAAGCCAGCAGCATTCCTTCCAAGCAAAGGTGGCAACAGCATCCTGGGCTGCAGCAGAAAGGCTGTGGCCAGCAGGTAAAGGGCAATGAGCTATCTCCTCAGCACAGGTGAGACACACCTGGAGTGCTGTGTCCAGTCTGGCTCCCCAGTACAAGACAGGCATGGACATACTGGAGCAAGTCCAGCAAAGGGATGTGGAGATGTTAAGTAATGGGAGCGTCAGTCCTAACAGTGAGACTGCAAGAGCTGGGATTGTTTCACTTGGACAAAAGGCTCAGCACAGTCTCATCCATGTGTGTCTCAGTGATGGGAAAATATAAGGAAGACACAAACAGCTTCTGCTCAGTGGTCTCTGGTAACATTGCAAGAGGCAACAGGCACAAACTGAAATGCAAGAAATTTCAATTAAATGTGAGAAAGAACTTTTCAGCTGTAAAAGTTGCTACACACAAGGGCATACTACCAGGAGGGATTGTGGAGTCTCCATCCCCAAGATACTTAAACTGGAACAGCTCTGAAGCTCTGGAAGAGCCAAACACAGCAAAGTAAAAGTGATTGAACAGCTTTGCCCAGCTGAATTAGACAAGTTGTGTTTATGTCTCTTGAAAAAGTGAATGCATAAACACACAAACATACAGGAGGCTGCACAACAGCCCAGAGAGTAGCAAGTCAAGGTAATTTTCTCCCCATGTGTAGCTCACAGTCACTCTCCCCCTGCATTGCTCAGCAGAATTGCACAGCTTTAAGTAAGGTCAGCTCTACAGTTTGTCTCACTTCCCTCATCCCAGAGGCTGCAAAGTTTACAAGTGACCACATCAGTCTGCCTGGAAAGAAAATTAAATTTATTAAAAAAACCCAAAACAAACAAACCAAACCCCTCCACAGAAACAGCCTCTCTCCATAGCCCACATGCCTCAGAGTGGGGCCTGGAAAGTCTTCCTCCTCCCTTGACCTCACATGCCCTTCACCCATGGCAAGGGTGGGAAGGGGATGGAAAGTGCCAAGTGTTAAGGTGCTGAGAAGCTCTTGATGTTTCCATCTCTCAAGTGCTGTTGGCCTGTTCCTGCTCAAAGAGGGCCATGGCCAAATGTGAGCGGGACGCGAGTCCTTCCAAGTTGCTGAGCACACAGCGGTGGTACAGCTCCTCACTGAGCCGGGGGTTGCAGCTCCTCAGGGTGTACTTCTGCACCAGCCCCGGCTCCACAGCCCTGAACAGGTGCAGACCAGAATAGTGGAGGAAGACATCAAATACCTCCATGCTCTCCAGAACCTCATCTCGGTCCAGGATATCGGCTGCAAGCTTGGTACGTGCTGTCATATAGTCAGAATTATAAAAGCAGGCCTCAGCAAAGGAATGTCTGTCAAAATGCCCATCCCTCAGGAAGTCAGTGCTGGAGGAAGCTGTCTGCTCACCACGGTACACCAGCACAGGGTTGAACTCCTGGAAATGCACAGGGAAAAAAACCTGCCAGTTGCTGATGGTATTCATACGGCAGCGGTTCAGGAACTCCATGTTGATTTCTGTCCAGACGCTGGCCAAGAAGAACAGTGTATCCACAGGGTGCTTCTTTGAGACTATATCCATGAGCTTCACTTGTGATGGCACCTCTGTTTTAACACTAATCCATGGGATTTTAACTTCTGCATAGCGTTTCTCCAGCTCTCCTACCATGGCTTTGACTCCAGCAAAAACATCCACCTGACTGACTCTCTGGGCATCATAGGGATGGTAGACAAAAAGCAAAGTCAGCAAGGCATTATCATGCGTGTCCAGTGTGTTCATAGCAAACATATCCAGGAAGTTTGCCACATAATCCAGGTCCTGCACTGTCAAGGGAAGCACCAGCTGCACCCGTGTGGCCTCTGTCACATATGGCATGGGAATAATTTCCACCTTACTTAAGGGTCGCACCAAGCTCACTCGCTTGGCCAGAACATGACTGTGGCCCTTCTGGGTGACAGCCTCCAGCAGCAGGTCCAGTGTGTACTCCATGCCCCGCGTGGGGTCAAAGCGCCGGTAGCCGTTGAGCAGCTGCCGCTTGCTGAAGCGGAGCAGGGGCTGGTACCGATGGTTCAGCTGCTCCAGCGCTGACTCGATGATCTCACCAACATCTGCTTTGCTGGCTCCAGACAGCTCACACTTGGGGGAGCCGTCAGGACAGGAGAAGAGGTGCTGCTCGGTGAAGTAGTCCCAGTTGATCACCTCAAAGCGGGACTTTGGAAGGAATGGAGCATTTATGCCCACAGGCCAGGTCACACCTGCCTCGCCCGCAGGGGTCAGTGCTGTCAGGTTCCTGATCTGCATCTGTGCAAACAGAGAGCACAAACTGATCCCCACCAAGTTCTCAAAAGGGTCCAGGCCAGCTCCCCTCCAGGCCCACCTCACCACCTACAAATGTCACACCAGCAGTTTTAGGTGTCAGAAGTGCTGTTTGTGAGACATGGGGCTGCAGCCTGTGTCTGGCTGACAGTCATCCACAAATGGAAGCAACAATCTTCTTCTACTGCACCAAACTAGAAGGAAATCTGTTTGGTCAAGGAGTTTATGCAGGTATATCTCACCACATACCTGGAGGTCCTGTATCTCCTGGTAAGCTCTGTCCAGCTGGATCCTGCTGAACTGCTTGTGCAGCCGGTACATCAGGGTCATGTCGGAAACAGGGTGCACTGCAAGAGCTGCTTGGAACTCTTCTTCTTCCTCCTTCTCTGGCTCAGTATTTTTGGCCAGTTCATAGGTGTGATAATGCTGGCCCTGAAGCAGATAAAAGACAGAAAGACTGGAATGGAACCCAAGTTCACGGAGCAGCTTTCCCGTATCCCAGACATGCACCCATCCCTCTTTCCATGCAGACTGAGATAAAAAGGTATGAGTTGTCCCTCCCACCCTAACTCCCACTTTCTCCTTGGTGCCAACATGCCCTTTATCCTACCTCCAAAAACCTGTGGATCAGACCTTGGTAGTAAGCCAAAAATTAAGTCACATGTGTGCTCTCTACCTCAACATCACAGCTGTGATTCAGGCCCCTCCTTGACGCTGCTATAGCACACAACCCTTTCCTCCTCTGCAGCTCACAAGAAAGCCACTTTGCTACACAGCAGGGAACAAGTAAGAGCATGGGCTCTGTCAGGCTCAGCTAACACAAAACCTGAGCTGGGAAGTAGTACCTGGAGCTGGGAAATGCAAGTGATGCCAAGGAAATCAATGATGCAACGACCCAGCCACTCATCTGGCCGCACACTGAGTATCTCATTGCGACAGCTGTCCAGGTGTGGGTGGAGCTTCAGCAGCAGGCTACGGGAGAGCAGGTAGCCAAAGCCCCCGTGACAGTACCGGGTCTGTTCATCCCCCCCGATGAACTCCTCCGCTCGCCCCAGGTACACGTCCTGGTTAATGCTCAGGTGCGTCACCAGAGCCTTGACCTGCTCCGCCTGGGCATAGGTGTCATCCTGCATGATGTAGAACCAGTCATAGTCAGAACCAAAATGCTGATGGATATAGTTCATGGTCTCATACATAAGCCAAATGGGCCGCTCGTCTCCATGGGCCACCAGCACCATTCCATGGGGCACCTTGGCACTGCGCAGCCCCGTAAAGTACAGCAGGCGTGGGAAGTGGTGGGCCACCGTCTTGTTCACGGCCACTGCCAGCGTGTTCATGGTGGCCTTGGAGGTCAGCACAGCCACAAACAATCTCTCATGGAATCCCAGTTCTGTCTGGATGTAGCGAGTTCTGTAAAGGAAGGACATACCTACATGACAAAGAACTGGAGGAGAAAAATCAAGAATTATGGTAACTTGGGATAAATCCTTATTTGCTGGAGTCTACCCATGGTGAAAGTTAAGCCTAGATGTAGAGCTCTAAGAGAAAACTCATTAGTGAACATCCCATTTTGTGAAAACATTTGCTTCCTTCAAGGCAGCTACAATCTATCTCACATCATTTATGTGAGCCAGAAAACTGTGCCAGTGTAATTAAATTTAAAACACCACAGAGCTAACCACTTGCAGCTTAAGAAGTATGCTCAATTAAATCACAGGAAGGACTGTTGAGTCCCTAGTGCTGGGGGCTGGGCTGTGCCAGCTGCGAGTGGGGTCCCAAGTGGCAGGAGATCACTGAAGCCTCAGGCCATAAGCCAGCAACAGTTGCTGGCCTTGGCCTAACAAAGAGCCCAAAGCCCTGCAGGACCTGGTGAACAATGAGAGGACCCCAAACCAAAGTTCACCATTGGACCAAGAGGCACGTGAGGAGTGTGTAGAGAGACTGTGAGGGTACAACAGGGGTCCCTTTGCTCAGGGTCCCTCTGCAGAGGCAACAACCCGAGCTGTTCTGATGCTGCTGCACCACAAATAAAATACTTAAAGGAACCAAAGAAACTCTGCTACAGAAAGTCTGGGGCCGAGGGAACTTGTCTGACAGTGTGACTGTGGTTTGTGGAAGGAGCCGAGGGGGTACACCTGTTGGGTCACCAGAGCAACCACTGCAAAGGAACCCCGGTCCCAGCAGTGACAGTCTAGGTGGTGCCAGTGTGACCCCCAGAGTGGCCCCTGGATGGTGAGACAGGAAAGTTTCATACAATACATTCTTACAGTGTATTACATTACATCAATAAATTGTTAATTGCTCAAAACTGCCTTAACGAATAGACTGCTTAGAAAAGTTTTGAAGAGTAATTTAACATGTTCTATTAGACACAGGTAACAAAACTATCATAGAATTCCAGAACGGTTCGGGGTGGAAGGGACCTCAAAACCCATCCAGTCCAATGCCCTGCCATGGGCAGGGACACCTTCCACTAGCCCAGGTTGCTCCAAGCCCTATCCAGCCTGGCCTTGGACGCTTCCAGGGATCCAGGGGCAGCCACAGCTCCTCTGGGCAACCTGTACCAGGGCCTCACCACCCTCACAGCCAAGAATTCCTTCCCAATATGCCATCTAACCCTGCCCTCTATCAGTTTGAAGCCATTGCCCTTTTTCCTGTCCCTCCAGGCCGTTGTAGATAGTCACTCTCCATTTTTCCTGCAGGTTTCCTTCAGGTCCTGGAAGGTCACAATCAGGTCACCCCACCCTCTCTTCTCCAAGCTAAACAATCCCAGTTCTTTCAGTCTTTCCTTATAACAGAGGTGCTCCATCCCTCTGACCATCTTGGTGCGTCCTCTGGACTTGCACCAACAGCTCTATGTCCTTCCTGTGCTGGGTTCCAGGGCTGGAGGCAGCTCTGCAGGTGGGGGTCTCACCTGAGGGGGCAGAGGGGCAGAATCTCCCCCATATTGAAAAGAAATATTCTCAATCTTCTTGGGTACTTTTGTTGCCTTTTTTCCCCCCTCTCAGGTTCATTTCCTGAACACGTTTTCCATCCCTTTGAGGTGACAATCTTGGCCACCGCCTTATTGCATTACGTTGTTCCTACACGAGGTAATTCAAACAGCAAATTCCACCTCGAACCTGTTCACTCAGGACGAGGTTTAGAACCCCAAATACGACCCACACGTGACTGTTTTCCCTGAAGGAAAAACGAGCCAAAAAGCACAGAACTTACCTGAGTACTTTTTTGTAAGGCTTGTTGGGGTCTCTGTAGTACGGCACAATGCGGGGCCTGAAGTCCTCTTGGCCCGGGCCCGGCCCCCCCTCCGCTGCCTCGGGCGGAGCCCCGCCGGCGGGTGGCGCGGGCCGGCCCGGCGCCAGGCAGCGCTCCTCGGCCGCGCCGTGGCTCCAGGAGGCTCGCAGGAGGCTCAGGCTGCAGCCGAGAGACAGCCCGAGCAGGAGCGGCAGCGCGGGCCGCAGCGCGCCCAGCACCGCGCCCAAGCGCATCGCGGCGGCTACGGCCGGGCGGAGCTCCGGGGTGACATGGCGAGCGGGGCTGTCTTACCCGCAGGCCGGCGGCAGCGCCAGGGGCGGCCCGGGGCTCCGGGCTGGCGGTGCGGGAGGCGGAGGCGGGCCCGTCCCGTCCGCGCTGCGCCGCTGCCACCTCACCCGCCGCATCGCCCCGCGCACTTCCGCTTCCGCTCCGCTGGCTGGTGACGGACGCTCGCTCCGCCCCCCCAGCTCTATGGTACCGCAGGGGCGGGGCCGGGCCAGCTCGGGGCACGGCATGGGGCGCGCCGGCCGCCCAGGGCCGCGCGCCGCCCGGCGCCGGTGACGCTCGGCGCTGCGATTGGCCGGCGCAGCGGGGGAGGGGCTTGGGTGACGCTCGGCGCTGCGATTGGCCGGCGCGCTGTGGGGGCGGGGCGCGCGCACGCGGTCGCGGCGGGGCTGTTGCGACAGAAGGAAAGCGCGAGCGGCCGGTGCGCGCGGGCCCGGGGGCGCGGGGCGGGGGCGGCCGGGCCGGGCCGGGCAGCGCGGGCAGCCCAGCGGGCGGGCGGGCGGGAGCCCTCGACAGGACCGAACGGCGCAGCGTGCTACGGGCCGGGTCCGGCGGCTCGCGGGGCGGCCGGGGCGGAGAACGGGGGCGGGGCGACCCGGGACGGCGCGGCCTAACGGCGCCTGTCTCCCCTCTGTCACAGCCCCCCCCGCGCCATGCCCTCCGACCTGGCCAAGAAGAAGGCGGCCAAGAAGAAGGAGGCGGCCAAGGCCCGGCAGCGGCCGCGCCGGGCCCCGGAGGAGAACGGCGATGCCGGGACGGAGCCGCAGGAGGTCCGGCCCCCGGAGGCCAACGGGACGGCGCTGCCAGGTGAGGGAGCGGCCAGTCCCGTGTCTGCTCCGGGTGTCCCGGGGCGGGGGGCTCGGCCGTGGCCCAGCTGGGTGAGCCGGGACGTTGATTCTCTACGGATGGAACACCTCGGGCACGGGCTGCGCCGAGCCGGGCGGCTGCCGCAGCTGCCGTCGGGGCCGCTCTGCCCTGGGGCAGCAGGACGCCCCGGGGGCTCTACATGGGCCGTGTGTGTGAAGGATGCCCGTGGCCTTCGCTCGAGGCATGGCAGTATGAAGATGGAAGGGTCTGATGGTGTCTCCTCCTTCAGACAGACACTGTCCCGATCTTCTGCTACTTGATGCACAGACCTTTTTGGATTTTTTTTTGATTTTTCTTTCTGTCTTGTTTGGAGTTTTCTTTCTTGCTGCAGGGACCACTGCAGCGTTTGAATTTTTTCTGTTCTTACTGCTACTGCTCTCACCCTCCTCACACCTGCTTCTCTGTGACGTACCTGGTTTGTAGAGTCTGAGAGCCTGTCTCTAAAAGAGACTTTGTGTGTGTTAAAGAGAGAGATTTAGTCAGAGGGCGCTGTCGGCCCTGAAGGACATAGGTAGCGCTTACCGAGGGACAGCTTGCTTTCGCAGCCGCGGGGCTCTCTCGCTCCGTGCTGGGTTCGCGCTCTCTCTGTCTCCCCCCCTCTCGTGTGAGGCTGTATCTCTGTCTTTCTCTCCCCGTGCGGGGCTCTTTCTGTCTCTCTCTTGCTCTCTGTGTCTCTCCCCGTCTGTCTCTGTCTCTCCCTCATTTGCAAAGCGCCTCCCCATTGGTGCAGCCCGGGGCGGGCGGGGCCCGGAGCGGCGAGGGCTGTGCCGGATCCGGCGGGAATCTGGGAAAGGCTCTTTCCTCCCGAACGGGTCACAGAATACGCCGAGTTGGAAGGGACCCACAAGGATCACCGAGTGCAGCTCCTAGCCCTGCACAGGAGCAGCCCCAACAATCCCACCATGTGCCCCAGAGTATCATCGAAACACTCCTTGAGCTCTGACAGCCTCGGTGCTGTGCCTACTGCCCTGGGGAGCCTGTTCAGTGCCCAACCACCCTCTGAGGAAAGAACCTTTTCTCGAATCCAACCTAAACCAGGCTCTGGAACAGCCCCCCAGGTCGCGGCCCCAAGCCTGGCAGAGCTCAAGGAGCATTTAAACAGCACTCTTGGGCCATGGTGGCAGGGGGTGTCTGGTCAGGAGCTGGACTGGGTGATCCTTGGGAATCCCTTCCAGCTTAGGAGATCCTGTGATTCCATATGGATTGATACTGGCATATTTCTTATTGGGAGTTCTCCATGAGCTATTAGGACAAGAGGGCACGGGCTTAAGCTCTGCCAGGGGAGGTTTAGGTTGGATATTAGAAAGAAGTTCTTTACAGAGAGAGTGATCAGGCATTGGAATGGCCTGCTCAGAGAGGTGGTGGATTCACCGTCCCTGGAGGTTTTTAAAATGAGGCTGGATGTGGCACTGAGTGCCATGATCTAGTAATCACAGTGGGGTTGGATCAAAGGTTGAACTTGATGATCTCAGAGGTCTCTTCCAACCCAGTTAATCCTATGATTCTGTGATCCTATTCTATGATTTACACATCAGGGGGAAAACACCCTTGCCCCGTTTGACTTCCTGCTCTGTGGCACTGTCCAGAGGGGTCCCGTGTGACTGCCAGTGACCTTTTTTATGCTCCTTGGCTAAGGCACATTTGTCATGGTGTTCACAGTGATTTGGCTGAGTGGGTGATTTTGCCAGGAGCACTAGGTGCTCGCACCTGGGCCGTTGTTCAGCTGTTTGCCGTGAGCAGCAGCAGCGCTGCCGAGATCCCCAGTGCTGTTTGCTGCTTCCAAGGCCAGCGTCTCACCGAGCTGTGAATTTAGGCTGCAACAGAAGGTCAGCATGACAGGAAAGAGAGTAGTGGGGCCCTGGCACACGCTGCACAGAGAAGCTGTGGCTGCCCCATCCCTGGAAGTGTTCTAGGCCAGGTTGAACAGGACTTGGAGCAACCTGGGCTAGTGGAAGGTGTCCCTGTCCATGGCAGGGGGTTTGGAATTAGATGCTCTTTAAGATCCAACCCAAACCATTCTAGGATTCTGTGATTATATGACTTGCTGTTACTGTAGGAGTAAAGGAAGAGGGGGACGTGCAGATGGACATAGTAGCTTCTCCAAAAATTAGTAGGGCCTGTTCCAGTGGTACTGCTTCTTCTCTAACCTTTCCCTTCATTTATTTTCTAGCCAATTTTTTTTTTGGCTAACCATTTCCTTAAGCTTGCAAGCAGTACTCTGTAAGGTCTCTTCCTATCCTAGTCCTTCCTGCAGAAGGGGTTAGTCTCATGGCACTCAGATAAGTGGCTCACTTCTCTGGCTGCTGACTTAATTCTGATGGTCCTATTTCATTTATATGGTATTTAGATACTTAGCAGGTGGAAGTTCCTGTTAGACTATATATATCCATTTGCTAAGCTGAAAAGCAGAGCATCATTGCATCTGAACCTCCTCAACTCTTCCATAGAAATGGGGGCTGGGAGTTGTTTTTGTAGCCCTGGGCCATTCTGTACAGGGGCTTATGGCTTCCCTTGTATTTGTAAATCAGTAACACTTCTGGTCTTTCTGCTTATAGAGGTGGATGCTCTTACAAAGGAGCTAGAGGACTTTGAATTAAAGAAAGCTGCTGCCCGAGCTGTGACAGGAGTCCTGGCCTCCCATCCCAACAGCACTGATGTGCACATCATCAACCTCTCCCTGACCTTCCACGGCCAGGAGCTGCTAAGTGACACCAAACTGGAGCTGAACTCCGGGAGACGCTATGGCCTGATCGGACTCAATGGCATCGGTAAGCCATGGGGGAGGTGACGTGGCTCCCTGAAGCTCAGTGAGGGTGTTGTGCTGCTGAGGAGCTGGGCAGGTGCAGGTGGGAAATGCTGGAAACTGGAAAGAGGGCTGTTAGACAGACATGGCTGGGCCATGGCAGTTCCTGTTCTCCCACGTGTCTCCCCAGAGAGGGGAATTGCTAGGATTGCTGACAGAAGTCTGAGATTGCATTCTGGCTTTGGACTGTGCATTTGAACTTGTTTCACTGGAGAGTTGAGTGAGATGTCTGGGATCAGTAAATCTGTCTGATTCCTGTTTACAAGATTTGCTTAGTAGGGCCAGTAAACCCAAGATAGCATTGGTCAAAGAAGTAAAGGAGAAGTAAAGAGTGTGTGGTTTGGCCTGACTGGGAAAACAACTGTACAGTGCTTGGAGAAGGTGACACTACATTGAGAGATGGAGAATGGGTGTGATTGGAGAAGTGCTAGTAAGAGGGACCTTCAGGTTTAACCTTCAGGAAAACACAAGTTCTCTAGTGATGAGCACATTACTTTCCTCTATGTCAGAAGTCTTTGGAATCTGGGGCCCTGGTAACAGCTGTTAGACCTGGTTAGACAGCAGGAAGTACAACAGAGGTAAAATTCTCTAAATTTGAGCAAGGGCTGAAGTGAAGTGGTTTCCAAAAAGCTTCTTTGTGTCTCAGTCCTGTCCTTGGGGTGGTGAGCCTTAGCTGGGAAGGCAGCTTGTCACAGTGAGGCAGTGGGCTCTGCTGTGTCTCCAGTTCTTCTGGCCTCTTGGGCAAGAAATTGCCCAGGATTTTCAGGGCTTGGAAAGGGAGGGAATCAGTGGAATCTGAGTGCATTTCTTCTGTTTCACTGTGACATTGGATCTCACTGAATCCAACAATTAATTGTGGAGTGATTATCTGCACACAGGGAAATCCATGCTTTTATCAGCTATTGGGAAGCGAGAAGTGCCCATCCCAGAGCATATTGACATCTATCACCTGACACGAGAGATGCCTCCCAGTGACAAGACCCCTCTGCAATGTGTGATGGAGGTGGATACAGAGAGGGCCATGCTGGAGCGAGAGGCAGAACGTCTGGCTCATGAAGACGGTAAAGCTTCTCCGAGTCCCAGGGGACATTTCCTCCATTTCCTTCCCCACCAAAGAAAATGTGGGTTCCTTGACGGAGTTTTCACATGTTGTAATACCTATTTCCCCCAGCTGCCACATGAGAGTGACACTAGTAGAATGACAATTCTTTGGATGAATTATTCCATGCAGCTTCTTATGAAGTGTCTCAGGCTTGGGAATGGAGGGGGCTGAACAGACGTAGGGCAGAGGGATTGTGAGCTTTCCTAGCTGTGCAGAGGTGCAGCTGAGAGCCCTTTACTGGCAGAGGTGCTGACAGGCAGCCTCTCTTTCAGCGGAATGTGAGAAACTCTTGGAGT